TTGAAGGCTAGCAGAAAAAAGTGATGAAGAGCAGTTGCCGTTCCTTTAAACAAGCTTCCTTCCCTTCTATCAAATTTTTGTTCTTCCTGATTGGAGCAGGCATTCAAGCTCAAATTTGTCAGGTCCAAACTGAAACATATTCGGGGTTAACTAGATAATAGTAGCAGCCATATAAAAGGCAAAGGGTTTATGTTTTTTAAAGAGATGGCTTTAAGTTTCATTGATAACAGGTGGGTTTCAGCAGGTTCTGACCAGTTCTGAAGAACCGGTAACGGAAATTTTGAGAGAACCGGTAAATACCACCTCTGACTGGCCCCGCCCCATCTATTCTTTGTCTCCCGTATCCCAGCTGATTGGGAGGAAATGGGGATTTTGCAGTAACCTTCCCTTGGAGTGGGGTGGGAATGGGGATTTTGCAGTAACCTTCCCCTGTAGTGGGGAGGGAATGGAGATTTTACAGTATCCTTCCCCTGCCACGCCCACCAAGCCACGCCCACCAAGCCACGCCACACCCACCAAGCCACGCCACGCCCACAGAACTGTTAGTAAAAAAATTTGAAACCCACCACTGATTGATAAGTAGTTTGATTGGGCGGGATTCAGGAATAAGTGATTTTTCTCTAAATTGGACCCTCTGTCTACTCCAGATTACTTTTGTGGCACCCCCCACAGACTTTTGGGGCCAGGAATAGTAGTCATCTATTCCAACCCAGTGGTGAAATCCAAAATTTTTTACTACCGGTTCTGTGGTGTGGCTTGGTAGGCATGGCAGGGGAAGGATGCTGCAAAATCTCCATTCCCACCCCACTCCAAGGGAAGGATACTGCAAAATCCCAATTCCCTCTCCACTCCTGGGAGAAGGATATTGCAAAATCTCCATTCCCACCCCACTCCAGGGGAAGGATTCTGCAAAATCTCCATTCCGACCCCACTCCAGGGGAAGGATATTGCAAAATCTCCATTCCCACCCCGCTCCAGGGGAAGGATACTGCAAAATCCCAATTCCCTCTCCACTCCTGGGAGAAGGATATTGCAAAATCTCCATTCCCACCCCATTCTGGGCCCAGCCAGAGATGGTATTTGCCAGTTCTCCAAACTATTCAAATTTTCCACTACCAGTTCTCCAGAACCTGTTAGAACCTGCTGGATTTCACCCCTGGTCCAACCCCCTGCTCATGCAGGAGACCTGTACTAGGGATTCGAACTGCCGGCCTTTCTGATCGACAAGCTCAGTGTCTTAGCCACTCAGACCCCCTCCCCCCTCTCCTCCTTCTACATTCCTGCAGAATTGTGCCATTTTCTTCCCACTGAAATATTCCACCTCTTCTTCAGTTGTGCTGATGCATGCAGCCTTCTGTTCCTATTGTGGAGGCACAGTGGGTTTGTTTACAGCTCTTTCCTTTGATTTTCCTTACATTTTTATAGTAGGCTATTTTCAGAGGTGATCTTCTTCCTACTGAGCTAGCATTCTGTTGTAATGTGGGATTTTTTTTTAGATTTCATGTTCTTCCCCCTTTAACTGCTGTAGTCAGCTAGACAGCACATGTTTCCACCATTGTATTTTATTTATTTGATCAGCAGTTCACTTTTAGGCCCTGCCTCATTGATTTATGCCTTTCCCAAGTCAATTGACCCCCATCCTTCTCTCTTTGCCTTCTGTCAGAAAAATGTTTAGGCTGATCTAGAGGATTCTGGTTCATAGCCATTCACTTTCCCAAGGGTTCATTATTTTTGTCAATATATGTATAAGAAGTATAAGAAATAAAAATAATTTTATTTAAAATTAATGCAGTCTAAACAGCTATTTGCAGAGGAAGTGAAATGAAACAATTTAAAATTAAGCCTGTCTGCCTGTTTTGATTAGTTAGATAGCTTGTCTTTAACTGATTCATTAGGCATCTAGAGACATTGCCCAAGATGCTAGGATTGTTAAGATTTTGAGAATGTTTAAGTAATTATGAAACATACAGAATTTGTTCTGAGGAGGGAGATAATTTTAAGCAAATTATGTGAATTAAGGCTTGGCTAATAGATTTTATTCATATTTCTTAATGCAAAAGGAGCAGGTTTTTTTTAAAAAAAATGTTTTGTTTTGTTTTGTTTTGTTTTTAATTTGATTTATATGCCGCCCTTCTCCGGAGACTCAGGGCGGCTTACAATGCGTTAAGCAACCAGGCAGTTTGTCCTGCCTGGTTGTCAAGACTGCTTCTTTTGTGCTGCATTTGCCTGCTAACATGTTGCATATGCAGCTAACAGTGCACAATGCAACTGTGGCAGAGGTGGGTTTCAGCAGGTTCTGACCAATTCTGGAGAACTGGTAGCGGAAATTTTGAGTAGTTCGGAGAACAGGTAAATACCACCTCTGGCTGGCCCCACCCCCATCTATTCTCTGCCTCCTAAGTCCCAGCTGATTGGGAGGAAATGGGAATTTTGCAGTAACCTTCCCCGGGAGTGGGGTGGGAATGGAGATTTTACAGTATCCTTCCCCTTCCACACCCACCAAGCCATGCCTACCAAGCCATGCCATGCCATGCCCACCAAGCCACACCCACAGAACCAGTAGTAAAAAAATTTGAAACCCACCACTGAACTGTGGGAAGAAATATCCATCTGGTTCAGTTCCAAGCCAGGAAAAAGGCATTGGAGACAAAATGGAGGCTGGAGGCTGATTGGAAAGAGGGTCCATTTGTTGATGAAGCAGAACCACCAAGCATGTGTGATTTTGGGCAGCTGACCACATGGGAGTTGAGATTGGGATGGGCGATATACCTTATCTTGGGCTTTGCACTTGAGCTTCCTGTTCCTGTGCAAGAACATGTATTCTATTGGCTGTTGTCAGACTTCCATGGGACCATGTAAGGGTTATGTAGTGGTCAGAGCTGGCTCTAGAGGCAAAGTACAAATCCTAGGTGTTTGTCTGAGCTACGTTTGGTTGAAGTTTCTGAGGGTGATGCAATGAGGGGGTTTGTGTTCTGAAAGGGTGTTGGGTAATTCCTATTGTGGCTTAATGGCTTTTTCCTGTGTTGGATCTTGGGTGATGGCTAATCGTACTATTCTGCCTTTGTTTCAAAATATCCTGTCTTGAATAGATTACCAAATCTGTATTTCTAAAAGCTGCCCTCAGCATCTGCTGGGGCTATTAAAGAAAGTGGGGGTTGTTTCTGCCTCAAAACAACAACAACAAAGAAACCAAAAACCATGTTTCTCCATTTTTCCCTTTGGGAAATATAATATTCTGCTTTTTAAAAATATTCCTCAAAATATTTCATTCTTCCGGAGGGGGGGGGGCCCTTCCGACACAACCAAGAGTTTTGGGTTTAAACCAGCTTGATGCAGAGAAAGAGGGATTGGCCCAGGGATGAAATGCTCCTGGTTCGGACCGGATCTCTGATCCGGTAGCGATGGTGGCGGGTGGTTTGGAGAACCGGTAGCAAAAATCCCTGCCCCCCCCCCATGCCCAGCTGAGCCGCACAATCATCAGAGGCTCTTTTTTAAAAAAAAAAAATTAAAAGCATTTTTTTCTACAACCTCTTCGGCCGAAAAAATGCTTTTAAAAGTAAAAAAAAAAAGTCTCTGATGATCCCGCGGCTCAGCTGGGATCGTCAGAGGTTTTTAAAAGCATTTTTTTCTACCACCTCTTCGGCCGAAGAGTGCAAGTGTTGAAAGAAATCTCCTTGGTTCGTTCCCCAGCTCAGACACAGTCACAGAGGCTGAGAAGAAATAGACTCAGAAGCAAGCTGCCAGAAAGCAGAATCCTTTAATTCAGGAAGGCAAGAAGTAGTAGCAAGGCAGTTCAAGCGTTCCTGGCTTGCAAGCAGTTTGGGATTGTGTGTCTGTGGTTTTTCCTATCCTGCGGGTTAATCCTGTCAGGGGGCAGGAAAAAAGTGTTCTGGTTTTGCCTTGGTGAGTTATTTTTAGCCTGGTTCCCCCCTCCCTTATCTTAATTGCTCTACTTAAGGGTTTCTGTGGTCAGCTTTGTTACTTTTGTAACAATCGTTATTGGCTTTTGGCTGAGTTTTCCTTTCAGCTGGTGCTTTTGCTTTGGGGTTTGAATTTCTTAAAGGGGGAAGGGCTGTTTTAAGTCTTTTGGCACTGCTTTAGTGGTTCCTGGCACTGTCCTTTTGGGGTGTACTTCCAACACAAGTACGTGTCTTTTCAGTCCTAAGCAACAGACGGCATATTCAGAAAGTCCTTAAATACATTTGCAAGTTTTAAGAAAAATTTGAATCCAGCTGGGAAAAAATAATATAACCCATCAATTTGCCACTTGTGCAATGTTATCTAAAATCAATATTTTCTATTGTTCAAGTCTCACATGTAATCAGTGTTCTTTATTGTTCGATCGTTCATGATACATCACTTTCTGATGTATCACGTATACCGCATGTATGAATCATTTGTTTCTGTATCCTTTAAAAACATAGCTCTCCTTACTAAATGCTTTTTGCTTTGCCTGAATTTACTGGATGGATTATCAGGTGGGCAAAGAAGCCCCTGTGCAAAGATAAAATTGTCTCTTTCAGATTCAGGGATCCTTATCATCTGAATGCCAAACTCAGGGTGTCTACTTTCAAGACAACAAACTCAGTTTACTTATTTCACATATAACCAGTGGTGGGATTCAGCCGGTTCTGTCCGGATCGCGCGAACCAGTAGCGGTGACTGCGGGAGGCTCCACCCACCCGCCCAGACGTAATGCGCGACTACTGCTCATTACGCAGTAGAGTAGAGGTGACATGTGTGAGCCAAGCCCGCGCGCACACTCACATTTGCAAACTGGTAGGGAAGGCAAGTGAATCCCACCTCTGCATATGCATGGATTTAAAACCAATTTTATTTTGCATTGGGATAGGCCTGTTTTTGGTTTGTTTTTTGAGGAGCTATTTTGCTTCAAAGATTTAAAACTGCAAGTTTGAGGAAGTTCGGGAGATACTCATTTACTACTTTTTTTAAAAAAAAAACAGTCTCCTTTGAATCAGTGTTCTACTACTGACAGTTCAGTTGCTTGGCAACCATGCAGAAGTAGTTGGCTAGTGCAGTTTGGCTATTGCTGTTTTCAATGAAATATTAAAACTTCCCTATACAATGGACTACTATTGGATTTCTTTGTGATTCTCCGATCTAAGCAGGTCTGTTGTGTTTTTAGCTTTTTTTTTTTTTTTTAAGGGGAAGTGAATCAAGGTTAATTACGTAGACTTCTTTGCAATTCAAATCCAGGAAATGATACTCTTTGCTCCCATGAAATGCCTGCCTGAAAACCAGGGGTGAAATCCAGCAGGTACTGACAGGTTCTGGAGAACTGGTAGCGGAAATTTTGCCTAGTTCGGAGAACCGGCAAATACTACTTCTGGCTGGCCCCAGAGTGGGGAGGGAATGGGGATTTTGCAATATCATTTTCCCAGGAGTGGGGAGGGAATGGGGATTTTGCAGTATCCTTCCCCTGCCACGCCCACCAAGCCACACCATGCCCACCAAGCCACGCCCACAGAACCAGTAGTGAAAAAATTTAGATTTCACCACTGCTGCAAATCTTTGCTGTTCATTTCAGTGGGAAAAGCAGATGGTATCCTTGTGGATCCTGAAATGAACAGGCTATTCATATGCCCCAAAAACACACAGATGTTTTTCAGCCGAATTATCAGCATCTACATTGAGTTATTAATATGACTGATTAACATGACCTTTTGGATGTCACACATTCCAAATAAATTTCTGGATCAATTTCCCCAGATTAAGAGATATGAGTCTGCAAGCTACTATTCTCACACCCCTACCCTAATAGAGGGGCTGTGAAATTGATTTGTGCAGTGGTTAGAGCTGTTGGAAGAAATGTCCATCTGGGTTCAGTTCCAAGTGGGGAAAAAGACACTGGAAACACGGTGGCTGTTTGGAAAGATGGTTTTTAATGGTGGACAAGATCACATCTCTTGATGATGTTGGGTGAAGAAAAAAAAGGGGAGAGATGCTGAGAGTGCCTGAGCTTTATACCCTCTCTGGGCTTTTGAATTTGAGCTTTTTTCTGATTGGTTGTCAGACTCCCAGGGGCAACTCTGTAGGCTGTCCTGAGTCCCAGGCTTGGTTGAGTCTTGCTGGGTGATGTAATCTTCCCAGGTGCCATGTGGAAAAATGGGTAGAGGGATAATCCTATCATGTCCTGAAGGCCACGTCTTAATCCCATCACCCTGGAGCTGAAGGGTGTGTGTGCAGGGAGCTGCAGGGAGCTGCTTTCTCTTTAAAAACATGTTTCTCCTTTTCTCATCCAGGAAAACATAATATTCTGCCTTTTTAATATTTCCTAAAATATTTCATTCTTCTAGGAGAGAGGTGGGTGCTAACTTCCTACAGAGCCTTATGTTCTGTTTCACCATCCTGGAGCTACCTAAGATAATAGGCAGATACAAAATGGCTGGCAAATGTCTAGAAACTGTACTACTGAATAAACACTTTAGACTACATTAGGTGTTGACTTAACTATAATAAATGTGAGCATGGGAAGATGACTCCAAATATTTCCTGCCACCCTTGTAACTACTGACATGGGGATCTGGGGACACAAATTCCACATTATCTTAAAGTCTAATGTGCTTTTTTGTGCTGTGAGTTTTTACAGTGCAAAGGTTAATGAAGCAACTTCACGTGAAGGCACTTAGCAGATGTTGGTATTGCTTTTAAGGAATATAAATTCACTTAATTAATATCCGAAGAGAATAGTTTTAAAATTCTAGAAATCTCCCAAAGGATGACTATAGTAAAAAGCATTCACAACAAAGCAGATGCAGAACCAAATGTCATGAATTATAAATGTATTATTTACAGCATGCGTGTTTGTTTTTAAACTGGAATTAGGTGTGTGAATATATGGAGTGATGGTACAAAAGTAACCCTTTTCTCTTGCAATTTTGATGAAAATTATCCCCCCTGGGTGCTACTATACAGATTTTGGCATGCAAGAATGAACACATAATATTTAGACTTGAAAATGGTATGAAAATCAGTCTGCAGAATATTTTTATATGTTAAATTGTCTCCCTAATTGTTTGATTTGTGGCATCCTATGGAACTCTATTAAATGTAAATACATCTTTATTACATTAAAATATATCCTTTGCCATTATATAGTGTGTATGTCTTGACATGTGTGTGTGTGTGTGTGTATTTCATAGTAATATTTTAAATTTATACTTGCATCAGTGATGGGTTGCCCCCGGTTCGCACCGGTTCTATAGAACCGGTAGTAAAACCGGCGGGAAGCTCCGCCCACCGACCCCAACGCCATCAAAATGCTCCTGTACATTCGCAGAAGCTTCTGCGCATGCGTTTGGCCCCGTTGCGAACCAGTAGTAAAGGTAAATAGAACCCACTCCTGACTTACACAGATAATTAAAACACGTTATGTTATCCAATTTTATTAGTTATTTCATCATAGTTATGCTAATATTTTATCTCATCTGTTTCATTTTACTTTGGTGTAGTTTTTCAAATTTTGCTAGTTATTGATCAAATAAACATTTCATTATATATATATATATATATATATATATATATATATATATATATATATATATATATATATACACACACATAGTGTAGAATTACAGAATTACAGAGTTGGAAGGGACCTTGGAAGTCTTCTAGTACAACTCACTGCTCAATCAAAAGATTGTATACATTCCGGACAAATGGCTGTCCTGAACGAATAGGAAAGAAATATTTCCCATTATGCCTTAATATTTATCTTGTGCACCCACAGTTTCAAGGAGAACCCGTGCCCTCAGCATCAGCATCAGCCACTTAGCAACAGCAAGGTGTGACTACTAGTCATAATCTGAGATTTCCTGCACATCCCAGGGTAACTCCCAAGTTAAATTCCAAGGGTATTTTCATTACAAAGTTGAATTCTTTTTCTCCTCATAAAATTAAATACTGAATCCTGTAATTGAAAACAGGCCTGTGAGGTTTTGAAATGCTGGCTAAATTTAAAAGATGTAATTAAGAGCCTTGGTAGTACAGTGGTCTAAGGCACCCTGTTATTAAGCTGGTTATTAAGACCAGCTGCCTGCAATTACTGCAGGTTCGAATCTCGCCAAGGCTCAAGGTTGACTCAGCCTTCCATCCTTTCTAAGGTAGGTAAATTGAGGACCCAGTTATGGGGGCAATAAGCTGACTTTGTATAAATATACAAAAGGATGAAGGCTATTGCTGAGCACATTGTAAGTCGCCCTGAGTCTCCGGAGAAGGGCGGCATATAAATCAAATTAAAAAAAAATATCCATAAAGAGGTTCTATTACTAAATGCCCGTCTTTTCTTTTTTAAAAAAAAAACAAAAACAAAAACCTGTAAATTATATGAAAGGTAACAAGAAGGCAATAACAGTTTTGCTATATATTTGTTTTTTGTTTGCAATACATGGAAGATACATGGAAGAAAAATGGGAAGGTAACCGGCCCCGATGAATCCCAATTGAAGTTTAGAAAATCCTCAGCCACCAAGGTGCCAAGATTCTTGTTGCCCTCTTTAACCAAACCATTGAGCAGGGTGCAGCCCCAGCAGCCTGGGCAACTAGTACCATGGTGCCAATTTGGAAGGGCAAGGGTGACATGTCTGAATGCTTGAATTATCAGCTGATCCGGCTCCTGGGTCAAACCATGAAAATATTTGAATGGGTTATCGATACCAGACTCCACAAGATTGTCTCCATCACTCCAAACCAATGTGGCTTTGTGAAAGGGAGTAGAACGATGGATGCCATTCATGCTGCTCGGTTGCTTTTGTAGAAGCACCGTGAGAAGATGAAGCCTGTCCATATGGCATTCCTTGACCTGGAAAAGGCCTTTGACCATGTCCTACACAAACTCATTTGGCACGCCCTATGATCCCACAATGTCCCGGAAGCCTATGTCCAGTGCATTCAACTATTCTACCATGGCGTCACTAGCATGGTCCAATGTGCAGTGGGAACATTGCGCTCCCTTCTCCATTAATGTTGGAGTACATCAAGGATCCCTACTCTTCGTCCTTTCCATGGACACTGTGATGCTTGACTTCCAATCACTCCACCCATGGTCACTTTTCTATGCCAATGACATCTTCTTGATGAATGAGCAATGTGAAGACCTCCAAGAGCGAACACAGCAATGGAATGAATGGCTCGGTGTATTTGGACTTAGACTGAACATCAAGAAAATGGAATATATGGAATGTGGCCCCCAAACCGATGGAACCATCAGCATTGGTGGAGAAGACCTTAAGAAAGTAAAGCAATTCAAGTATCTTGGCTCCCTCATATGCAACAATGGCAATAACTTTCCGGATGCCCGTGCCTGTGGCAAACCCTGCCTGGATGAAGTGGCACCAGGTGACTGGAATCCTGTGTAATCCTTGGTTGCCCCTATGCCTCAAGTCAAATATTTACAGAATGGTAGTGTGCCCAGTCTCCCTCTATGGATCAGAGTGCTGACCAGCGACGGCAAAACATGAGCAGGCCATACATGTGATGGAAATTCAGATGCTTCGATGGTGCCTTGGACTAACACAATTCGACCACACTATGAATGACATCTCACATCGACTGGGAGTCATGCCAATTGTAGCAAAAATATGGGAAGGAAGACTTAGATGGTATCACATTATATGTGGTAAAGAAGACTCGGTGGCAAGGACAGCCATACATCTGGATCCCGATGGCCAGCAACCCCATGGCAGATCCAAGAAAAGATAGATGGATCACCTCAAGGAGGACATGAAATACATGGGCATTGACCCGAAGATGCTCTGGATTGACCCAAATGGAGGCGGCTTTGCTGACAATGAATCTTGCCATAGGGTGGGAATTGTTCTGACCCAGCCTTAGCAGAAACAAGAAACAGACCCCTTGTCATGAAAAACTCCTCTTTATTTTCCTCTTGTGAATTAATTGCATTCACCCACTGAAAAGTCCAGGCAATAGTCCTTCAAGGAGTTAACTGCAGTAACAGACCTTATCAGTTCCTTGCGATAATTTCAAGGCCGTGAGCTCCCAGACGAAAGGCTGAAAATTAAGTTCTGGAAAGCAGTCTTTGTGACACAAAACGCAATGAGCAAAATCTTCAGAAATACGAACTGTTGTCTCCTATGACAACCACTCCCCTT